CTCCCATCCCAACGCGACCTTTTCCTTACAGTGAGGAAAGGACACGTGTATGTGAGTGGGACGTACGAGAAGCCGTTGCACAAATCGGCGGGCAGTATTACTTCCCTTTGGCCAGCCGCTGTTCTGGGTTCGTAGAAGCCGGGTTTGTTATTATCGATACGCACTTCCCACCTTACTCAATATTATTGCCATTTAACGAGTTGATCGTCATTCCGTGGACGGCAGTAGAACCTCACTGGCTGAGCACTCTGTGCACCGAATGTCAGTCTTGAGCGCTACGAGTCCAGGGGTTTCCACTACCGTGTGCGGAGTGAAGACGAGCATAAAGAAAGAGCCACGAGGCTGAGACCCTCCACGTCAGACTCGAAACTAACCAGCGAACGACGACGAAACTTGATACGAAAACGGGACACGCGAAGCGTGCCCAAGCCTTTCTGTTTTAAACGACGGGCTGTAGCCCGGTGGGAGGCACGACAATACTTTTTGGATTGAATTTGGATCTTTCCCTCTCTTCCCGCCTTGCCCGCGCGCGCATTCTGTGACGCGCGAAAACTATCGACTTGCTCCATCTGACCAACACGGGGGATTTCAGTTTCGTCTATGTCCCCACACTCAATTTCCAAAAATCCTTGGCACACCCCATTTCGCTGTTTTTCTGGGCCTCTTTTCCGCAAGTCTCACACTCCGAACGAAAAACAGCACAGGGCGTGAGGTTGGTATCGGAGGCGACACGTGTCGGTTCTGATGATAGTAAGTCGAACTGGGGAGAGGTAGGAGAGACCCTCAACTAGCTCGTCGAGATCGCCCCGTAACCAGGTCTCAGTCTAGTGGGGCTGCACCAGCAATACCAATGGTGGACGGTACTAGGGTGATCGTTAGTATTCCTGCCCCCTTTCCCTTCTTCCCTAACCACACCCATTCCGAGGCTTGGCTGGAAGCTGTCGAAGCTCAAAACTACAGCACAACCGATCTTCCCCATGTTCTGACATTGCTACTCCGCAATACATCGCATGACTGGTTCAGAAAGCATACATGGGTAGATTGGGAGACTTTTAAGCATGCATTCTTGGCTCGATTCGACACGGTTAGTGAAGATGCCGCCTAGTACGTACTCAAAAATCGACCCCAAGGACCAGGGGAACTGTTACCCGATTTCGTTGGTCGATTTCAAACCACATTGGATAAATCCGGGCGAGACGAGAAACCTGCTCAAGATTTGTTTATTGATCACCTTCGAAGTCCAACCTTGAAAGGGAAACTGCAGAAAAAGGTTTTGCTGAAAACAACCCATCTATCGGCTATCATTACTAAAGTGTTGGAACTAGACTTGGCTGATACAAAAAAAATATCAGCCAGGGAGACGAGGACATTACAAATACCATACGAGATATAACGGCCAAAAGGCGATCATGGCTACAAGCAGTCGAACAGTTTTATCCCCGCCCCGACCATGACCTTCTCGGCGAGATCATTTCCGATATCCCGACTTCTTCTCCTCCCTCTCCCCCGGTGAATCAATCGATCGCAGCCGTCAGAAGCGAAACTTCATATGAACCCCCCTCGCCGGCCGTAACCAATCTACACCTTGCTTAGATGATCCACACGGCCACTACCAAGCAGTCCGAATGAATGAGTAACTTGATCCAAATGCAGGCGGCTCACATGGAACGGATGAAACAGATAATGAGCCGGCTCATTAAGCCTGACCCGGCTCCTGCCCGACCTGCCCCTGCATCGTTTTCGCTCCTACCTGCTCCGCTTGCTCCAGGATTTGCCCCTCAGTATCCCCATCTAGCCAATCCGGCAGGAAAAATCGAGTGTTTCAACTGCAAACAGCCCGGGCATTTTGCCCGAGACTGTCCGCAGTCGAAGCGTAATCAGCCTCCCCCTGCCGCGGCCCCCGTTGCTCTTAATCAAGGACGAGTGACCGCTATGATGGATACGGATCACGGAAGAGAAATCGTGGCATATGCCACAGAGCAGCCCTCCCCTTCGATGGCAACGGCATCGACATCGGGAGCTTCTTTCCCCGACGCTGCTGTTGTGGTCGATCCTCTCGAGTATCTCCATCTCGCAGGCATGATCGGAGCGACCGGATCGATCCCAGATGATCTCGAGTGGGTCGATCGCGAATCCAATCCAGGACCGCAGTTTCAGACAGGAGACATTGATGTATTGAAAACGCTCAAGCAATTAGACATCCGCGTTCCTATCCCCGTAGGGCATCTGCTCACCATATCTGAAGCGGCGAACGATAAACTTTTACAACACTGCCAGAAAAATCAAAAGTGTTTCACCTATCAACGCATACAACGGATGTTGAAGAAGAAGGAAGAAGGTGAGGAAGTGGTATCCCCTGAGCCGGACACTAAAGAACCTGTAGCCGCATGCATAGCCTCCATCTCTTTAGCAGTAAAGGATCACTTCGTACGAGCTCGGCCAGTACTATGGAAAAGTGCGGAATGTGACTGTGAAGTTTGCGGTAAGCAGTTTAATGCCCTAATCGACATTGGGTCTTCTGTAGTGGCCATATCATTGGAGACTGTTAAAAAGACGGGACGACTTAGATCCATTCTTCCTCAATCTGGCAAAGACAACTATGTCTCTGCCGACGAGGAGGCAATGAACATCGTAGGCATTATCGAGAACGTGGCTGTAAAAGTCGGGCGAGTACACGTCCTTGTTAACGCGCTCGTAATAGATGTACGTTCCAATTCTGTGTTATTGGGATTACCTTGGGCAATGGTGGTGGGTGCACATCTGCATTTCGATTCGAAACAATTGGTGCTCACACAAACTGGGGGAAAGCCTCAGACTGTTCCTTTGTGGGTTTCCACCCGAACAATGAAACGGGTTCCTAACTCGTCCCAAATAGGGATGATCCGAGGCATTGATTCCGAGGAGTGCTCCCCCTCGCGCCTCGGGGATGGAATCAGGGAACGAGAATACGAAGAAGAGACGCCAGTAAAGAGGAATGGAAGCATCTGGTTGAACTTTTCGAACATGAAACCCCCGAAGAATTTTGAGTGTGCCCCGACACCACTCGAAGCTTCCATGTGGATTCTAAAGACAGTGCATTCACGCCTCTAACAACCCGGGTCAGTCCTTCAATCCTCCTCGGGGAACCTATATTACAAGTTTCCGATCTGGCTGATGATTTGGAACCCCCTTGTACATTGTACGAGGGAGCTCTCTCCTTACGAACACGATATCAGCCAACGGAACAGTATTAAGACGTTTCTGTTTTTCCACCTCGATCGTTACTAACGACAGGAGCCACCATCGCCTTGATTAAACAAGAAGCGGAAGCACCGGTAAATGATGTACCTAATCTGATGCAAGAAATGACGGATCTAACAGGGCTAACTATGGAACCGACCTCGGTTGATTCAGAAACTGACGCCGAAACTAAAGAAACAGAAATCATCAGCCCTGCTGAGTCCCAGATGATAGCAACTGTCTTGAAGTTCTCTGTTCGCACCAGTAGTTCCGTTTTTTCTAGTGTTCATGATCGACGGGAACGGCTGGTTGATTGGATTGATATGCCCCTTAAGATTTTCGGGGAATCTACAATCACCTTGCCAGGCCATGTCCCCGCGGAACTTCGGAAATCATTAATTCGTGTGTTAAATGACTACGAAGAAGTATTGAGCATACACGATAACGACATCGGCTTAACTAATGTGATTGAGCATGGTATTCTCACGGGAGATCATCCACCCATTAGCTGCGCTCCCTACCGATACTCGCCAGCTCAAAGAGATGCCGCTTTTCAGCGGATTAAGGAGTTTGAGGCTAATGGATGGATCTAACCTGCCATAGGTCCGTGGTCTTTTCCCATAGTAATCGTACCTAAAAAGGCCGGAGGGATTCGTATTTGTATTGATTATCGAAAATTGAATGATATCACGATTAAAAATGTGTATCCCCTCCCCCGGATTGATGAGTTATTGGATGCGATTGGGAATGCTCGATTTTTCAGCAAGTTTGATGTTCGTCATGGGTTCCATCATCTTCTTGTCCGAGAGGAAGATTGACCGAAAACAGCGTTTGTGCTTTTCGAAGGCACGTGGCAATGGATTCGATGTCCGATGAGTATCTGCAATGCCCCTGCAACTTTTCAGCGGGCCAATGACTTTTCAGAATTTTGTACGGAAGACTCGTTTGGCACAGAGCATCATCAACTACTGCGTGATTGTGTACATGGATGACATCCTAGTGTATTCGAGTTCCTACGAGGGACACATGCAGCACATCAAATGGGCACTGCATGCGTTACGAGATGCAGGTTTCAAGGTGGCGCTTGAGAAGTGTCAGTTTTCCCTCACCACCATTTCTTTCCTGGGGCACGTGGTGACAGACAAGGGACTCCAACCGGAGCCGCAGAAGGTGGCAGCTGTCAGGGACGCGCCAGTGCCTACCACTATCACGCAAGTTCGCGCCTTTATGGGCCTAACCTCGTATTACCGAAGATTTATCAAGGGCTTCACGATGGTTGAGGGACCCCTCACAAATCTCATGCGCAAGGATCAGCCGTTGATCTGGACGCCGGAGTGCGATCAAGCGTTTTCCAAACTCAAGGCTGCTCTCATTTCGGCTCCGATCCTTATAAGACCGGATCTCGAAAAGCCTTTTGTTCTCATCACCGACTGGCAGCCAAAGGCGATTTCTGCGATCCTTGCCCAGGTGGGACCGATCGGACTCGAGAGTGTAGTGGAGTATGCGTCCAAATTAGTGCCCGCCTGCAAGCGCAATTACGCCGCTCCAACGGGTGAATGCTATGCCGCTCTCTGGGGAATCAGTCACTTCCGTGCTTTCCTGTACGAGCGAAAATTCACCCTGGTGACTGATCATGAGCCCCCGTTGGCTCTGAAGAAGTCGAAGGATTACTCAGGCATGATCGGGCGATGGGCAACGGTGCCGCAGAGCATGGACTTTGACATTCGTCATCGAAAGCACGAGAGACACGGGAATGCGGACGGACTGACACGACTGCACCGTCCTGAGAAAGTTCCAAAGGGTGAGGAGGTAATTTCGTGGAACGAACCCGAACAGGAGATCGGACCTCGGTACAACCAAGTGGAGATTTTATCGAAGCAGTAAGTGACACGAGGACTAATTTGCCTGCTCTACTCTCTCCATAATTCAGTCCCGTCTCTCCCCTTCTATCATCATGACTACCCCGCCTGCCTCCTCAACCCCTTCTTCTCCTACTAATTCTGCCCCTCTCACTTCCTCGGCTTTCTTCGCCACCCTTCCCAATAAATTCTGCTATTTTTGCACGTGTATTGCACGGGTTTACGGGGTCGACTGTCATCCCTACGAGACCGGATTTGTCGATTGGGTAGAATGTGCCACGTGTGTCAACCGTGCGCACGAGGCCTGCGTTCGATATCGGACGAGTAGCAAGGAATGGAGGTGCCCCCTGTGTACAACGAAAAAGCTCCCCACGGAGGTTCGATTCGAGGCCGCCCGTACGGACGACCCTGAATACGATGAAAAATACCGACGAGCGGAGGTTTGGACGGATAAAATTTTATTAGCAAAATTAGCGGGATTATCGTTGGACCACCTCACCAAACACGACAGACGTAGGGCAACCGAGAGATCTCGGGACTATCGATGGATCAATGGTCATTTGGAAAAGCATAAAACTGATGGGTCGGGTTCGTGGTTGACAGTTCCCCATCCATTCCAGAGATACGATTGGATCTGATCTGCTCACGAAGAACAGGCCGCTCATTTCGCGATACGTGCCATGGAGGCAACTGTAGGCCAGAATCGATGGTTCTGTTCTTATATATGAAATGATGTCAAATACATTGTCGCTAGCTGTCTGGTCTTTGCCGCTGATCGCGCCCCTATACGGGGACCAAACACGATCGTGCCAATGGAAGTAGAGCGTCCTTTTCAGGGAGTCAGTATGAACACGACAGATATTGACGTGCCACCGGGCCCAAACCGCTGTGAATATTCCATCTTGCTAGTTTTAATTGACCATTTTTCCAAATACATCGAAGTCTATCCTTGTAAGACCCGAAAGGCCGCCAAAAAAACCACATACATCGAACGATTCCTCTATACCCATCTAGATACGGAAGAAATTCTAACTGACAATGGGTCGGAATTCAAAGGTGAGGTAGAGGAACTGCTTGCGCGAAGGGGTGTCACGCTCCGACATACGACACCCCACGTATCCCAGTGGAACGGGTTGGCCGAGAATGCCAACCGTATGATTAAAACCGCCCTTCGCAGGAACTTAGCGGCACACGACACGCGTCCTTGGCCCGAGATCGTATATCAGATCGTTGGGATCCATCGGGCCACCCCTCATGAGTCTACGGGGTTTACCCCCTTTCAGCTTCGAAATAATAGCCTCCCCTATGTCGATTACCGGGGTAACTCGGAAATTATCAAAGCACGGGGTAGAGACATGCGTGCGACCCTCAAGGCCAAGGCCAAAAGGTGCACCGATTTGATGGAACGGGCCGTTCCGAAGCTAGCCCGAAAAAGACAAAGGATGACCGAGCTGGCCCACGGTAGACAGGTCCGTAGCTACGAGGCCCGGAACGGAAATGCTGGGCCCCAGTACCAGTATAAATTGGGGGACCTAGTGCAAGTACGTAAATGTGCACGCGACCGGAAACTCGCTCCCAAGTTCTCTGGCTGTTTTCGCGTTGTCGAACTCGGGCCCAACGGCGCCAACACGGTGCGCATTGCGCCTAAGGCTAGCGCTAGCCATAGCTCCGTCCCCATCGTCAGACATACCTCCTACCTCCGTCTCCTTCCTCCTTCCGATTTTCCTCCCTCTTCTTCCTCGGAAAAGAAGGAAAACGACGACGATCTAACCCTCTCTCCTTTTTCTCCCTCTTGTCCCTCGTCCTCCTCTCTGACCTCGCCATGAGTTTCATCACGCAGCGGGTTCTCGACGCACAGCTGCGGCAGCCACGTGGCCACATCTCAGAGATCCGGCAAGTTTGTCACCCTCGGCTCAATACGGATCTCCGCCGTTTGATGCGATTTTTCTGCGACGAAGGTATCTGTGCCGCCGCAGCGTTTCGGATAGAAGGAAGCCCTCACGCGATAGTGTTCGCAGAGGTTACTGCAGTTCATCGGCGAGCGGGTCTCAGAACGAGCCACGTCACCACAGTGGCGGCATTCACCGGCGACATCATCTCGGTCAATCCGCTGCGGCATACCGCAATCTTGGCCTCGCTGCGCGAGTGGACGGAGCAAGTGTCCAACGTGTGGCAGCACGTCCTCGCCCGGGAGGGGTATAACATCATCCCGATCTTTGCATCAGACCTTGACGACATTCGCCGATTACCGCGCGAGCGGCCAGTTGCGATTCCATTCCTCGTCCCCTTCCCCCATCCCCAATGAACCACGCTGCTCTTCTCGCTCCTCTCTCTACCTTTGGTCTCCCCTCTCTCTTCCCCACCTTCTGGCAATCCGATCTTCACCCTTCTCTTTCCTTCTCGTTCGAGCCTCTTTCAGTCCCTCTTATCAATCATGGACATTGGCGATTGTGGCGCGAAACTTTTGAGGAGCCGTCCTTTTGCTTGGCCAGAGTACAAGTGAAGTGGACGGGCACTATCGAGCACCCCACGTGAATCGAGAATCCGGAGCTGCTGATCATACAGGGTTGGAGGACTAATGCGAAAGGAGATCTTATTGGATTCCTCTTTGGATCGGTACGACCGGGTCGTCGTCAGTTGATTGCACAGGAGCTCATCGCACAGATCGTGCAATTGGCGGACGATCTCTTGCCCGACATCTACTTTCAGAGCGACAACAGTCCTGCTCCGTACATTTTCGAGCGATCCTTGGATCCGTACCTTCAGTGGACTTCGTGCTTGGAGGAACCTAGGGACGAGGATACCCTACCATCGCAGCAGGAGTATCTGAAGCCGTACGAGATCATCCCTTACGCCTTCTATCCGAGGGCAGAGGAAGTGGTGATCGACGACGACAACGAAGAAGAAGACAACGGCGAGGAAACATCGGAGGAGGGAAGCTATAGTGAACATTGCGAGGGTGAGCTGAGTGAGGAGGAAGAGGAAGAAGAAGGAACCGGATCCGAGTGGCAAGCCCCGCCGGAGGAAGCGAAGCGTACGGGAACGGAGGCGAAAGATCCGGAAGCGGCGCGAAAGCGCGAAGAGATTGCCTCCAGAAAGCGCCAGCTGGAGTTCGCTAGCGAGGCTAGCCTGCACATCGGTAGCGGTCCGACCAGGGATCCAGAGCCGCCGAGGCCCGACGATGGCGACCCTGCAGCCGCCACCTCAAGTACCGCGCGACGGAGACGGCGCCGATCCCCCTCCTCCTCCAGCCCCACCCGTCCCCCAGTTCGCCCACGTACCAATGCGGGCGATAGGCCTTCGACCTCGGACGCTGCCCCGCCGACCACTTGATTTTCTCACCCTCGAGCAGATCCGTACCCCCGTCACCTTCCCTTCCCATCCTTTCCATCCCCATCTCTTCCGCGACTTCTATTCTACCCGTCTACTCGCCACCGTCCAATGCGTCCATCCTCACGCCTCCCTTCAGTCCGCTGCTCCCACATTCTGCTGGCATCTCCTGCTATTCAGCGCTGCATGGGAGCGATCCAACGTCGTAGAGGTCTACTGCGTTGTCACGGGGACAATCCCCGCCTGTCGCCACTTCGAGATCTTTCGAGCGGCGCTTTTCCGCACCCTCTCCTCCTTCTATCGTGATTACCTCGCTTCCCTTCCCGCAGTGGCGATCATTTCCCCCGCTTCCACCGGATCATCCGATATGAGGAGCTCTCGGTGACGATGGAAGGGATGAATCGCTTCCTACCCCCACTCCCCCCCCGTCATCCCTGCGAGATCCTCGACATATACCGCCTCTATTGGCCTATTCCAACTAGGCCGTAGATCCCATTCACTTGAACCCCCCCCCCTCTTTTTTTTTCCTTCTCTCTCCTCCCTTCATCGGCACGAATCGGTAAGCTTCGCGAAGATCACGCCATCGACAATGACGTCAACCTACGCGCTGATTCGACAGACGGCAACGAGCAAGGGTGCAGAGCACACGGAGATCAGGTGGACCATGATGGCGTCACCTGGACGATCTCCACGAGGCAGAGGGTTGCATATGACGGGGCTACAAAGATCTTGCCACGGATGTTGTCGCCATCTCATCCGCGGCCCAATTATCGTTCCTTCTACTTCTTTCTGCTCTGTTGATACGCTTGGTTCCTCATGCATCACTATGTTCTCCCCTCTTCTTTTTCGCCATAACATGCAATCAGGAGATAGCATAATTTTTGAACCCCCTGCGCGTCACATATGTGACGAACCACTTCCCGACCCCATGCCATCTTTCGTACCCTTTCTTTCGCTTGTATCATACCAACCCCAGGAAAACCCCGTTTTGAGTTCTTGCTTTTGGGTGCCGCATTTTCCTTTTTGAGAGTTTTTTCGACTGCTGAGTTATGTTTTTCTTCTTGCAAAGTTGGGAAATACATCGGAATTTACGTGCGCCTTAGCGAGCGCACGGGGAATTGGGCTCGGTAGTTGGGAATTCTGGGATAAGCGGAACTTCGACGTGTCCTTTTTGGGTGTGTGAATGTTCTTGGGCGCGTCGGGGAAAACTCTCGGAATTTTGCGTGAATACGAATAGGCGTAGGATTTTCTTTCCCGCGTCGTTTTTTCGTGCGTGGATATGGTGATTTCAATTTTGAATTAGGATAGAAGCAAGCTGTAACTGTTCCGGTGCCTTTTTCTTTTTTTTGTTGATGGCGCTGTGCATGCAAAAGCTTCCTCCTCTCTGTCCCCCACATTTCTCCCTCCCGCGCCTCCCTTCCCTTCTCCCTCCTTTTTCTCTCTTCCCGTAACTGTTTTTTCCTTCTCCCTCTCTCTCTCTCCCGCTTTGCTTTCGCGCGCCCGTTTCCCTTTCTTGATCATCTGAATCTTGGACCCGTCTTGCGCCACCTCTCGCGCCTTTTCTCTTCTCACCCTCTACGTCTGGCGTACGACGCCTGGTCGATCCCCCGATAACTCCCGCTCGCCAAT